GGGGGGAGGGGGGCGAATCGGGTAAGCAGTAAACATTATTCACATGCCGCCGTGGCTAAGTAATGGCTAGTAAAAAAAGGTGGGGGGAGGGGGCTTTATGTTAACGAAACACGTCGTACATTCCCGTGCCCGTTATTTAAGACACGAATGGTGCGTTGTGGTGGCTAGGTGGGGAACAGTTTGCCGTGCGCCGAACATCGCGACGGGGTTCCCCCGTCGCGATCGAAACGTTGACCGTTGTTGACGGTCTAGTTTATCGCCACTTATAACTTCCCTTGCAATTTTCCCGTGTCTGTGTGTGTGCGTGTGTGTTTTACAGCTCCGCGGCGGCCCGGGGGGTTCTCCCGTACACCGCGACTCGGTGGTGGCCACCGCCTTCTCAGCGGACATGAGCGCCCTGCTGACCGCAGACAAGGCGGGGGGCCTTTCATTCTGGTCGATGGAATAGGGAGGAGGGGGAGGGGGAGGCTATGCCGTACTGCCGTACATGGGATTGCGGCGAAAGATGAAAGCAAGGGGCGGGCGGGCGGGAGGGGGGTTGCCCCGCGCAGTGGTAGGTGGTTTTGTTGTGCGGATGGTTGGCGCCAACGGTCTGTTGGAAAGCAGTTTTAGTGGATGAGTTGCTGTTAGTTGAGTTTAATGGGGGTGGGGTGAGGACCGTAACCGGCAACGGACTCCATTTCGATGGCCCATCGTCAAACAAACAAGTGATGAGAGGGGGGATTGGGGCTGCTAGGATGTCGTACATTACTGGGAGGGAGGTTGCTGTGGGCAGAGACTGCGACTGCCGTGCTTGCTTTTCATTATGTATTTTTTCCTACACACAAAGTTTAAATTTATTATTTTTTGGCCATTTGGGTCGAACCTTGTCGCTGCCGCTGTCGGATTTGGTATTGATGCTGTTATCCAACACCCAACGTGGAGTGGCTGCTTTTGTCGACTTGTGGAANAAAAGCGCGGCACGCTGCCCCCTCCGTATCGCAGAGCTGTCGTACCAGCACCCGTTCCGCACCAGAGGGTTACCAGAGGTTTTCCTTGAGCTGCTGCTAGTTGGGCACCTGAAGGGTTTTGCAGAGCAAGGGGGAGGGAGCAAGGTACGGTAGTTCAAACAATAGGTAGTCACTGTGTTAGGTAGGCAGTCCCCCTATCACCACCACCACCACCACCACCACGGATATTTCGGGACAACCATTTCCCATCCATTCCATCACCCACGTGTGCCGACTTATGCGAAAAATAAGTGACTTTTCTGGGTTCAGGCACCCCCCCAACCATCACCACCATCACCACCACCACCACCATCACCACCACCATCACCACCACCACCACCACCACCACCATCACCACCACCACCACCACCACCATCACCACCACCATCACCACCATCACCACCATCACCATCACCACCATCACCACCACCACCACCACCACCACCATCACCACCATCACCACCATCACCACCACCACCACCACCACCACCACTATCACCACCACCACCACCACCACCACCACCACCGATATTTCGGGACAACCATTTCCCATCCATTTCATCACCCACGTGTGCCGACTTATGCGAAAAATAAGTGACTTTTCCGGGTTCAGGCCCCCCCCCAACCACCACCACCACCACCACCACCATCACCACCACCACCACCACCACCACCATCACCATCACCATCACCATCATCTAGTAGGATCGGCAGCCGGATCAACGGCATTCCTTCCACTCCTGGTCACTCCTGGTCCGCTCGCAGTCACCACATGGTCGGCTCGCAGTCCATCCCCGTCCATCGGCACATGGGGATGTATTCGTCTTCTTACGGTCGAGGGAATTTCATCTCCAAAAGAGCTCTTTATCGGATTTGGAAGCTTCCAGGGACACTACGCCGTGCCTTGTTAGCTTTATTGCTGTGTCTGCAAGTCGTATAATAAGACACTTCCGGAGCTGCCGCGAAGGAGGCTCACGCAACTGCTGTTTTCTCAGTTCAGAGCTTTATCCACGATGACGAAAGCCTCGTTGTTTCTGCTCTGTCGGCTGACGGGTTCGGCGCGACATCGACTGGTGCAGAAGTCGACTTCAGTTTTTGCAGTCAGTCAAGAGCTTATTGAATGCGGAAGCACATGAACATAAATGAATATAAGTTTGTCATAATAGTTGCACCTTGCTACGGCGTAAAAGTGGTTCAAAACAACAACAATTCAAAACCCAACTATGGTAGGCAATCTGCAATAATCCCAATCTTAACGTCACTTGCTTTCATTCAAAAGGGTGATGATGCAAACAACATCCGAATCGGAGCTTAATGGCTGGTTGCAAAACAAATTGCGGGATGCAAGGCGAAGTTTTGCGATTTCTTGCGACTTGCGACTTTGCGGGCTGCAAGCCGTACGCAGGAGTGCAATTCGCTTCGCATCCCGCAATTTACTTTGCAACCAGCCATAATCCGCCCCTGGCGCCATAAGGAAAGATTCAGAATATTTGTTCTGAACGATTCATATAATAAACCGCTGCTGTAGTTCTCAATCAGGAAAGCGCCTATCGAAGGACGAGGGATCGCCATTCACCGCACACAGGATGCGCACAGAACTTTCTTCGCCCTTTGCCCGGAGATATTTATTAACTTTACATTTTCCTGCGTCTTCCAACACCTTCGGAACGTCACGTTGCTTGCTTTGGAATTTCTGCTTCGCACACATATCCCCGAACTCCTTAGACGAGGTATCGAACAGTCATGGAGTAAAGAAGTTATCTATCTCCAAAAAGGTAATATTTTATTGCCTCACCGGAGGTTTACAACTTGCCATGAAGTTGCTTCAAAGTGGAAACGAGGTTTACAAAAACCTAAACCGAGGTTTTCACACAAACTGAAAGGCATTCATGCGAGGTTTACCTGTTCATGTTAATGCAACATTGACGTCTTGGTTTGATGATAGAGCAAAAAGGTACGATTTGGCAAGCTAGAAATGATTTATCCCTACGTCAAGGGCGACGACGCGACGCGACGCAACCAAGCAAAACTTGAAACTATACATCAGCACTTTCCAGAATTCAGATAACAGAAAAGGCAAGCACGGTATAGAAGAGCGGATGAAGGTTCCTATACTCCGCAACTCTGTGAGCAATAAGCATGTAACGGCGAAGCAAAAAATGACAAGGGGCCTTTGCCTGTAAAGGCCAAAGAACGACAGGTTTGAAGAGCTATTTTGTAACTACTCTTTGCTGCAGAGGATGCGGTGGTCCTAGCTTGGACGCCAGCGCTAAATTCAAGTAAAAATGCGCCATGACACATTTGAAAAGGCAGTTGCCATGAATAATCTGTTGCCTTTTCGGGGCACCTTGACACGGGGCAAATCCACTGCCAATGAGAGGCAAGTAGCAAAATATTTACAAATACACAATTTACAGCAAATACCAAAAGTAATAACTAAACTTCATATGCTACAAGCTTGTACGTATAAGGGCGGCACTACGTCGTCCGAGCCACCAGGATTCGCTCTATTCAGGATACCTTCGGTGACTAGTGTACTTCAATTATAAGCAATTATATCCCTTATTTCATGCTTTTATAAACAAAAGAAAGCCATTTTCCCTAAAAGTGCCTTTTTAAAAAGTTGTTAAATAGCGGTTTCGAAGTGCGACAAATTTTATCCGCGCGACACCAATAATATAGCTCCTTGTGGTTGCCTGCCCTCTAATCTGCCTATACATGTAAGATAAACTCACAACAAAACTACAGACATGATTACGTGTTATGAGCAGCTTCGTGCCCCTAGCTGGGAAGACCTTTCCGCGGGCCTGTTTGAGCGCATTGCCAGTTTCCTGGAACCCAACGAGGTTGCGTGCTCTGTCCGGATCATCAACAAGGACACGGCGCAACTCTTTCGAACCAGCCGCGAAGTCCGCCTGTCGCAGCCCGTGCCACATCATGCCTTCCTATGGCGCTTCGGCAATCCGGAAGCCTGGCGACCGTTCACTCTTCAGAAGCGATTGGAGCTGCTTTGCCTCGTGGCTCACAGTGGCAGCCTTGCAAACCTGCAGGTTGCAGTCGCGACTGCGGGCTGTTCTCTCATGCCGGAGGCTTTTCGCGCCGCCGCCGCCGGCGGCCACGTTAACGTGTGCGAGTGGCTGATTGCTGAGAACTGCCCCATGGACTTGGGTGCTGTCAAGGTGGCCTCCAGTGCCGGTCATTACGGCGTTGTCCGCCTCCTGCTGCCCCATCAGCAGCTCGTCACATCCACCGACGTGAGTTGCGACGCCGCCTGGACGGCAGCAGCTGGCGCCGGCCAGAGGGCGCTATGCGAGCGGCTGCTTGATGACGGCATTCCCCCAGGCAAGGAGGCCTTGTTCGCCGCTGCACGCGGGGGCCACGTGGACCTTACGGAGTGGATGCTGCAGCTGCCGCAGCTGCCGGCGCTAGACGACGGCGACAAGGCACTGCTGCTGCGTCGTGCCGCGTACGGCTTCGACCTGGTTTCACTGCAGCGACTGTTCAGCTGCCAGCAAGTTCATAACAGCCGCATGAATCTGGTCGAGCGCAACGCCGCTGCGGCCGCGGCTTTAGCTGCTCCCACTCGCGACTGGCGCGACAAGGTGCAATGGCTGGCTGGAGGGGAGATGATGTCCCTAGACGGCTTCAGCTTTCCGGACATGTGCGAATTTCTCCGACGTCCCGACTGCCATCACCGTCTGCAGCTGGTGGACTGGGCTTTCTCCAAGCGCTTCTACCACGACACGTTCTACACGGGGTTCGCAGTCCAGGCCGCCAACATGCCTCTGCTACAATATCTGCGTGGGAGGGGCATGTCGCTTGCTAGCCGAGACCTGGACGTTGCCGCGTCACAAGCTGCGGAGCATGGCGACGTTGAATTTCTCAACCAGGTTCTGGCGCTGGGACACACATTGCATGTGGAGCTGGTGAAAGCTGCGGCGCGGGGGGGTCATTTGCACGTGTTGCAGTGGATGGCGGGGCCTCAGGGGGAGCGGTACGGCGGCCTGCAGGCATTGCGGCAGGCGCTAGCATCACCAGATTTGGCTGAGGTGGCCGCTTCCTCCGGTAGTGTGGAGGTGATGGCGTGGCTGCGGTGCCGCGGCTGCCCTTGGAACAAATGGGTGTTTGTCGCGGGAGCCGGAGCTGGGAGTCTGAGGCTTCTGCAGTGGCTGGCGGCCTGGGGCTGTCCCATGGGGGTGAGTGATTTCCCGGGTAGAGATTGCGGAGAGAGAGACAGCAGAAAGATGAGTTTCGCTTGTGTGAGGCGCGTGTGAGATTATTGATCGTGTGACATGCTGTGCCATGGCTACCTTGGTCCTTGTCGCAAAACCGTACGGTATGACGAAATGTTTTGCTGGTAGCTTGGATACTGTTTGGGATACGGACAGAATGTTTTTTTACATGTATTATATTCATTTTTGTTCGTTCTAGCAATATTCGATACCTTAATTATCATTCGGAATATTGCGGGGCATTCCTATTGGGTGGAAAGATATAAAAAAAATACTAGGTTTCAACCTGATCTTAATGTTAGATTATGTTTCCAAATCTTTCGGCTCTATCAATCTTTGAAACGTTCCGGCGGTAGAAAACCCAGAACTTGCCTTGCACGTTCTTGTCATATACATCGCTTCTTTTCTTTTTGACAGTAACTTTTTTCTCTCGTAACTATATTATGGAGTGTGAGTGCCTTCCCTGACCAGATGAACCTGTGACATGCCATGACGACAATCAACCCCAATACAATAATTCATTTTTTTCACCTGCTGTCTGACACACGCGCATCCTTCCCCCAGTCACTGGGCGAGCCCTACACAAAGGCCGGCAGCAACGGAGACTTCGCCAGCCTGCGCTGCCTGCGGCGACTAGGTTGCCCATGGGGGCCCGACGGCTGGACCTTCAGCCAGGCGGTGTACGACGCTCACTGCGTTAGCGACCGGCCCTGCAGCCTGGCAGTTCTCAAGTGGCTGCTGGCGGAGGGCTGCCCCGTGGACTGGCGCGCGGCGAAGGATCGCGTGGCTGATCGTTTCAGGGCGCGACGGGACGCGGAATCTCAGCACATATTGGCCTGGATTGAAAGCCAGGAGGCGGAGAAGGGGGAGGAGGAGGAGAAGGAGGCGGCGGGTAGGAGTGAGGGAGGGCAGCAATAGTGAGAGAAGATGAGCGAAGATGGTCGTTGCTTGGGATGAAGGGGAAAATCGGGGTCGATGGGGGACGAGGATTGGGGAGTTCGTTGTTCACTAAGGGTGCCCCCGGTAAGAACTGGAGGCAGGGGCCAGGTAGCTAACTACTAGCTAGATATTTGTAGGTTGGAAACATGCGAGCAACTAGCCACTGAAATTAAACAACTGATCGGGTTCTTTATTGGGATTAACTTCGGGGTTTCTTCACTTTCCATTTGGCTTCTTGGGCTACAAAAGACATCCTACTTCGCCGTCAAGTCTTGAAATATGTTTTTGAATGTTTGTTTGAACGTGAACGTGCTTGCACCTCGAACGAAGTCGGGAAGTGAGCGACAGCAGTCTCAAGGTCTATTAAATATGAGGTGGAGACAGAAAAAATCAACAGCTGGAATATTACATACATACATACGTTACGTAAATATAATACAAAAATTTGGATCATGCCGCTGTTTGGGGGCTTTTCGGAGGACGGCGCCCTGGGCTAGGGGGTTGCTGGGGGCGGGACACACTGGCGAAGCAAATCTCCTTTTCCTCGCCCCCACTCTAGTTATCCGCCCGCCTTGCCGCGGCTCGTCAATCTCTCGCCTCTTTATCTATCTTCGCATTCACGTCGTGAAAGTCAGCGACTGCTGAACTGACGACTTTAGATTGGGTGATTGGATAACTGGCTGGCAACGGACATCTTGCACAACACCACTGGGGGTCAATGACTGCACTGGGGGGCGACTTGCTATATTCTTTATTTTTATAATACTAATATGTGTGTTATTATGGTATGATGATGATGGTGGTGCTGCTGCTGCTGCTGCTGCTACTGGGCCTGCTGTGAAATGTGATTCACGTGCCTAAAGTGAGCCCCGAGCGGGTCCTTACCTTAAAGAAATAGCTGTAGGCCCTAAGTTAACTTCCCATTCCGGCACCCACCTGTCGGCATCTATATCTTTGTTAAGCCGGTCACAAGGGGTCACCTGTTTGCAGCACCGACAGCAGCGGCGGCGGCTATACGGCCGGTACTGTTACTGTGTCCATTGCAAGCTGTGTGAGTAGCAGTGGGCTGCAGTGCTTGTAACGGCAGCTAGTACGGCAGCTAGTACGGTAGCTAGTAGGCGATAAATCTTGCAGCTAGATCTGATTGATGCAATTGTCAATAATGTTTTGGACAGCACGCGCGACCGAGTAATTCAGAGGCTGCGGGGTTGGGGTGGGGTCCTTGCGCGAGTACGGCGAGTACGGCGAGTACGGCGAGTACGGCGCAGAAGTTCCCGGACCGCCGGCCGTGTTTTGGGGGCTTCACGTTAAGCTCCGGCTGATGATGATGATGGTGATGATGGTGATGGTAATGATCCGGGCGCTATGGGATATTTGGCACTCTCTCTTAGCTTCGACAACGAAACCTCTTCAGCCGTCACTTGGCTGGGCGGCGCGCGGCAGGGTGGGGTGGGGTGGGGTGGGGTGGGGGGTTGAACTAAGGGATAGCTCAAGAAGTTGAGTTCCTTGGAGGCCCTCAAGCAACCCGCAGGTCGTCGGCCTCCTGAGCATCACTGATAGATATCACGGTGAAAAAGGCGGGGGAGGGGAGGCCGTTGATGCCGGAAGGACATGCGGCGATAGCGCTCTCGGGGATTTCCATATGTATGTATGTATGTGTGTGTATTATTGCTAGGCTTAGAGAGGCTTAGTACGAATATACGGGAAGAGGAGGAGGACGACGAGGAAGAGGAAGAAGGAGATGGAGTCTACCGACGTAGGCCGGGGCCTTATGCGAGGCAAGGGGAAATGCGAGGGTGCGAAAGTCCCATGCCGCGTTCTGTTACTCTGTTATGCGCCGCCACCGCCGCCGCCGCCGGTGTGTGTGTGTGTGTGTGTGTGTGTATGTGTGTGTGTGTGTGTGTGTGTGTATGTGTGTGTACGTGCCTGCGCCACCGAATTAGGCTTCGTAGGTTTTACCACCCGCCCTCGCTTCGGGTGTTATGGGGGGAGGACGAGAAAGGCAGGGGGTGTGTCAGGGGGGGCATGTACGGGAGGATGAAAGTCAGCACTTGAAGCTCAGGTGGCCAGGGGGGCCCCCGTGCTGTGCCATTGGGATCGCCTGGCCGGCTTGGCTTGGCTTGGCTTGGAGGCTCTGCCCGTACGGTGCTTAATGTGCCACCGGCCCAATGCGACACTCATCTGGTTATTGAATGATCGAATTCGGCTGAGAAATATTTATTGTGTTGTTATGTCAGTTACAATAAGAGGCCGTATTGAGCTCTGTCGTCATGGCAGCTGTGCGTGGTTGGTTGGGCTTGTGTACGGCAAAGCTTCCGTAAAGCTTCCGTGCCTACGTTTTTTTTATAGAACGTTTGGTTTTTGAGAAGTGAAGATTTGCAAGTGTTTCCACTTTTGCCGTTTACAATGATAATGATAATGCACATGAGGATGATGAAGAAATGGATTTTTGGTACAGCTCCAATGAGTTCAAAAGATTCCAGAAGAGGAAGACCACTTCGGTGTGTACGGGCTTTTGTTTTGTTTGTTTTAGACTTTTAGGCTCGTATGGGTAATATGGGTAATATAAATCTATATACATATAATTATATTGAGACCGGCCTGCTGCGTAAGCACTTGTTTTTGCGCAACGGTGATAATTTTCATTGCGTTGTTGCAACATGAGCCCTATTGAGTTGTTTTCTACTTAATTTGCCAATTTGGGACCTGAGGCGGCCATGAGCTGGTACGGCACACTCCACCCGTACGGCATTTTAACATCCGTCAGCTTGCAACTTCAGATTCCCTCACTGCAGCCATATCACTCCATCCGTCCGCAACCTGTCGTACATGTCGTAAATTTCCTAACAATTCAAAAAGATGGGGGCCCTTGTGAAGCAGCTGCCCGCGTTTCCAAAGCACGTATGGTGATGTGGAAGGTGCGGAAGTACGTCGGTGAAATATAATGTGGTAGGACTGGAGAGAATAGTGTAGCAGTATAATGTATTGTGAGTGTAGCTGAAGCTTTCATCGTGGGCGCGTCTCGTTGCAAGCTAAGCAACGCGTATACATGACGTGTAGCATCAGTCCTCAGTTCACTTCTTGTAACGAACATCAGCATAGGTCCAAGCCCTCTCGCTTGGAGGGATATATGCAAACAAACATCCTGATAGGTAAACTCGCATGCTACCGAGCATTCAACCGAGCACATGCATGCTTAGTTGAATGGTGAGATGCGACCCCCCTTCATTTCGTGCTCGGCAAGCCTGCCACCGCGTACCGGATATGTTGGCGATGTTACAGAGATGCTGCACCTTGGTTTCTGTGCGCAATGCATACGATGCTCGACCCCGCCGACCAAAACTACACGTGCCCAACTGAAGACACACCGGTGGTTGTGCAGCAGCTCTTGAGGCTTTGTTGGCTGAAATCCAGCCTGAGACGCTGCACCTCGGTACCTGTGCGCAATGCGTACGCTGCTCGCCCGCGCCGACCAAAACTACATGTTCCCATCTGAAGACAATGCCTGTGGTTCTTAAACAGAATTTGAGCTTGCTGATGGCTCAAGTCCTTCCGTAGTAGCTGCAACACGGCTAACGCAGGCACGGCCGAATGCGCTGCGAAAAGCTGTTCCAAGCCCTCAGCGGCATCCATTTTATTTGCAAGGTTCTGAACGACTTTCGCGATTCTTCTCTTTACCTAATTCTGCGTTGTTATTATTTATTTCGTAAGAGTGTAACTTGAGTTTAGTCGGAACAATGTGCATTATGCGCTGCGCTACCGAAAGCAGGCGCCTTATGAGCCGACCGCTTCATCTTCTGCGGCAGTTTCACGAGCCCAGAATTGCAAGCTAGGACGTTGGCATTCGGTGCTTTCAGTTACTGCAAAGCATCCAGGCAATAGTCCAGCATGCATGCCGCGTGCGGCTATGGCCAACATGCCCACTTGCGCAAGGCGCTGGCGCACGTGGTCCTCATCCGCCAAGAAAATTTATATACACTTGTACAGGCGCATTTTGTGAATCGTACGCGCGCATCTGCGCGGCAAAATTCGCTCCTGGAATTTTTGGACGATGTACGGATGTTTTATTCGCGAAGTACGACCGGACACATTTGTGCGAGAGGCTGCTTAACCAAAGATGGGGGCCCTTGTGAAGCAGCTGCCCGCGTTTCCAAAGCACGTATGGTGATGTGGAAGGTGCGGAAGTACGTCGGTGAAATATAATGTGAAATATAATGTGGTAGGACTGGAGAGGATAGTGTAGCAGTATAATGTATTGTGAGTGTAGCTGAAGCTTTCATCGTGGGCGCGTCTCGTTGCAAGCTAAGCAACGCGTATACATGACGTGTAGCATCAGTCCTCAGTTCACTTCTTGTAACGAACATCAGCATAGGTCCAAGCCCTCTCGCTTGGAGGGATATATGCAAACAAACATCCTGATAGGTAAACTCGCATGCTACCGAGCATTCAACCGAGCACATGCATGCTTAGTTGAATGGTGAGATGCGACCCCCCTTCATTTCGTGCTCGGCAAGCCTGCCACCGCGTACCGGATATGTTGGCGATGTTACAGAGACGCTGCACCTTGGTTTCTGTGCGCAATGCATACGATGCTCGACCCCGCCGACCAAAACTACACGTGCCCAACTGAAGACACACCGGTGGTTGTGCAGCAGATCTTGAGGCTTTGTTGGCTGAAATCCATCCTGAGAGCTGCACCTCGGTACCTGTGCGCAATGCGTACGCTGCTCGCCCGCGCCGACCAAAACTACATGTCCCATCG